CTGCAGGGCTGGACCCATAAAAGGCAACCTGCCCTGTGATAGGTTAAAAGTAGCTCACTCTTCATTAATAATCAATAGCCTAGCCCAAAACTGATAAAAGGACCTTCCTTTGTTCTTCTCTTCCTCTTCCTCTCCCCCCGCTCCTACCACCCCTTGAATAAAATCTCCAGTCAGACCTCTGGGTGTGTGTGTGTGGCCTAGTTGTTGAGCATCACATTCCCTTTCAATGAGGATATAACTTAAAAAGATAAATGTTTATGTGCAACATTTTGTTAGTTTATTATCAAATTTAAAATAACATATTTATAGGGCCAGGGATTTAGCTCAGTGGTTCTGCTGCCTGCCTCGCAAATGTAAGGACCCGAGTTCAATCCCTGGTACCAAAAGAAAAACAAAACATATTTAGAGATACTGTTTTTTCCCCACTCTGATATATCAGGAGCATAATTGTTCAAACTCCTCTTATGCATACAGACATGAGTCCTTGTCACAATTGTCTCTGAGTTGTGCAACCCAACTTAGAGCACTTTCACCTAAGATGTGTGAGATATAACACTCCATAAATCTGCATAAGAAACTGTCATTACAGGTCTTATTTTTTTCTTAGTCAATTTATGCTGCTATAACAAGACATCATAGACTGGGTAGTTGACAAAGGATAGATATTAATTTCTCAACAGTTAAAGAGGCTTGCAAGTCTAATATGAAAGATCTGGCAGATGTGGTTGTCTGAGGATTTCTCTGTGCTTCCTAGATTGCACCTCATTGCTACACCCTCCAGAGGGCAGGAACACTGTGTCCAGAGGCAGAAAGGCAAGCGTGACAAACTAGTTTCATGTAGCTCTTTTATGAGGGCTTGCACTTGTACTCATGAAGGCGTCCCCATCATTTAATCACCTCCTATTGGCGTCATCCTCGAACACTGACAACACCTGATTTTGGAGGATCACACTCAAATAGTATCAGTCTTAAAGTAAAAGTACTCACTTGAGTAAGATTTGGACAGATTTTTCTTTTATGTTGTTTTGTTTATCCCATATCTATAATTTTTATAAATAACCATCCATTTTAACGATTTTCAAAAGGTTTGCTAACAAAGCAATCTCAACTTTAGAACCCAGGTTAGGGCACAAGTCAGGTACAAGCCATGTTATACTAAGGCCACAAAAGGTGGGAGTTCTCAAAAAGGAAAAAGACAATTATTGAAGGTAATCAAGGAGTACTGCTGGTAAGAGACCTCAGGAATAGTCAAACCAAAAAAGAAGCCCTGGATCCAGATCTTAAAAGATGAGTTAGGTTCCAATAGGTAGATTAGAGACAGTAAATTCCATCTAAATATTCTGTCTGGCTTGGTAAAAACAGCTCCTATCATTAATTGATTCAGGTACAGCCACAACCATCTAGTGTGTATTATATCTCACTCAATACACTAAAATTCTAAGGTTGATGTTAACTTTGTTGCTAAAAAATTTAAAAACTGCAGAGAAATTGATGTCTTGCTTGATATCTTCACATTAGCACATAGGAAAATCAAGACTCAAACACAGATCTAAATCATTCTCCTTCCTGAGTCATATGGCAATTGAGCTGTCTTTGGGCATCATGATGATGCTCTCCATGCAGTAAGCACAACAACCCCATTCACAACTGTGAGACTTGCATGTGTAGAAAATAAATTCATTAACTCGAGGAAAACCATACCATAGGATATCCAAAACAGTGTGAAACACATATGATATGAACACACATGATATGAAAATTTCACTTTATTATATGTATGTTTTATTTTGTCTTAAAGCCTGATTGATGTTTATTTAATTTTCTGCTTAACTGATTCATTCCAAACTTGAGCCATGATGGGTCAGGCAAGGCCATTCAAAGATGCTTTGTGCCTTACTGGTATGGCCCTTAGTTTAATAACTACATATAATTTATACTTAGCTAAGGGATAGACCACAGGATCACACATAGCCTTCTCAAGTCAGAAACTTATCTTGAGATGTCCATGGGTACTGATTTTCGCTCTGGATATCTGACATCCTGGGGATCAAATGTTTTGTTCTTATTGTGCTTGGTGAGGCCACCACAGCACAGTTGCTGTTGGGCAGCTGTTAACTGTATCCCCTTTAACTTTTCAAACTGAATATAATCTAAGTTTCAGTTAAAGACTTGTCACATCAAAGGAATGCTCTAAATTATTAAATGTGAAGAATTATCACATATTTACTCAATATTAAATTCATTCTAGTTATCCTCTAGAACTCAGAAAATTAGTGTGAATATCAGAGTCAAGTAGAAATACTATCATAAAACACAAATGTAATGTAAAGACCTATGTGAAAAATATAAAATAAAACCACCACCAATCTGTGTTTATAAATCAAGTCTTGAAGACATTGAAAGCTCTAGAAATAATGGGAGATCTGGGAATGTGGGCTAACAACTGGCCTTTGGTCTTCTTTTCTGAGGGCAAAAGAGCCAGACAGCTCCACCAGCTTTTCCATCAAAGGCTGGATTTTGGCATCTGGGTTTTGTTCCAGTTTTGTTAAATTGGCTGTAGGTACTCATATTTATTAGCATGGTTCTCGGCTAATCAAATGTGAGCCTTCCAACTGTAAAAAGGATATATGAGTCAAAAGATCCTGTCCCCCCATCTTCAGTCAGTTTTCCTCCTGAGAAAAGTCCCCCAAATTCTAATAACACACCTTGTAGATGACAATACTGTAGATGGCAATTTTGCTTGCCATTAGAGAAAACCCCAAACTCCAGCATCATTTTCTGGGCTAAGAACATAGAATCCCAAGTATCAAGCATCCCAGTTATTTTCTTTTTTTTTGTAACTTCACCCACATCTCTTTCCATTCATTATCAAAAATAAAGACAGATAAATGGGCAACTCCTGTGATTATTTTCTTTCTTCTTCTTTTCTTATGTCTTAACAATGTTCTATCAACTTTATTTGTAGACAATAAAATGCACTGATTTAAAGTGCAGAGAGTTCAATGAGTTTTGAAAAATACATAAATCTGGGTAACCATCACGACAGTCAAGATATTAAGCTTTTCCAACACCACCAAAAATTCCCCATACCCTTCTAGAGTCAATTCCTACTGCCACCACTGTCACCCTCAGCAACCACTAGCCTCATTTCTATCACTGTAACGAAATACTTCTGGTTTAGACCTTCATGCAGAAACTTGAGAAAAAAAAATGAACACATTCTTTTCATACCCATCTAAAATAGAGCTGAGAAGCCACAGGGAGAAAATGCTCAGGTGGCAAACAATAGGAGCAGGCAGTGCCCCACAAGGCCAATTCTACCAAATGGTCTACATTATCATTAAGACTGTTTTTCTTAGCAATTAGTGAAACTGCCAACTGTGGCCTTAAGACTAAATGTATAGGATAACTACTGCCACTTGCCAATCAGAGCTTGCCAGTTTTCTCAAGCACTGAAAGTACCAATAAATCTTTTTCCCTAATAACTTGTGTAGATTTCTCTATCCTAATAGAAACAACTTATCCTTTATTCTCTCGACATTAGAAAGGCCCTCTTGGTGTCCATGGGTGTCCCAGATTGCAATTCTGATTTCTACACAACTCTCAGATACAACCTTTCTGTTTGGAGATTTGTTTCTTCTTCTGTTTAGCTCTGACAAGAGAAATGAGGCTATTAAGTCTAAACTTTCATGTGAGGATTCTTTTACTTAGCATAATTTTTAAAAATATTTGTTGTGTGTTGGGGTAGCTTTGGTTCATGAAAGTCGTTCTACAATTTTGGAAAAGATGGCCATGTTTGTAATTGTATGGGAAAGACGGCCACAGTTATGTTTATCACTTGATAAAGAGTTTGCAAACAAAAACAACATTTTACCAAACTCTCCTTCCCTATTTCTTTTCTTGAAAGTACTTTCCCTAAAAATAATCATATATTTGAGTCCTATTTTGGCATCAACTTCTTACAGGTCTAGACAAACATATCATTCATTCATTTCTTCATCTACTCATTCATTCAATCATGAAATATTTACTGAGTGCTTATAATGTTCCTGGAACTTTATTTTAGGCACTGTGAAGACTGGTGCACAAGAATGAAAAGGCCCCATATGAATAAACTCCCTGCAAAGTGCTGCTTTTTCTTCAGCCCTTCCACTGTGCTGGGCACCAAGCTAAGATCATTCTGAAATGCCTCATCCCATTTGCTCTTTACAATGACCCTTATAGGAGTTATTATTATTTTTATTTCATGGATCAGGAAACTAGGACCTAGAGACACTAAGTCCAGGGGCTTTTCTATGGGGACAGCTTATTTACCCCAAAACTCATGCTTTTAACCTAGATGATGATGCATCACCTCCAGTTGGGTGACAGCTCTGAGGAATTTAATTTTCTGACAATTATTGCAAGCCGTTTCTTCCGTTTAAATTTAAGAGGGCCACAGAAACTATTTACAAGGGAGGGCAACAGTTCTTCAAAGCATGCACTGTCAGTCCTACTCTCTTTCAGAGTTATGTTAATGACAATCTAATTTAACCCACTGGGAAGAACCCCTCACAAAGTGAGCTCCCAACTCATTTCTATTACTATAAAGATACAGAGTGCCTGGAATCCCAGCATTCTAGGAGGCTGAACCAGGGAGAGGCAAGTTCTAGCCCAGCCTGGTCAACTTTGCAAGACCCTGTCTCAAAATATAAAGGGATAAGGAAATAGCTCAGTTTGAAGGCCCTAGGTTCAACCCCCAGTACTGTAAAAAAATGGAAAGAAGAAAAGAAGGAAGATGAAGATGAAGCAAAGAAAGAAGAAAATGAAGAAGCGGAAGAGAGGAGATGATGATAGAGGTCAGAAAAACCCTTAATTTCCCTGCTTATCATACTGATCACAGCCCAGCTCTGGCAAGCTGATGGCAGGTGGTCACACACATCCAGGGCTTCTCACAGAGGTCAGCTAGGACCACTATAGAGGCAGCCAAGACTCCGCTGACAGCAGATGCAAACACATACCGTGATATCCAAGGTCAACTATGGTGTCCTCTATGTTTGATTCAAGTACATTGAGATCCAGGGAAGGAATAGGCTGAGTCTCTGGCAGGTTCTCTGAAACTGGTTCATCTAATTCCTTGTGAAAGGGAATTAACAATTCATGAGAAGCTGAGAGAAGGAAAAAGCACTAGCACAATGAAATAATATTTTTGTTTAGAGGACTATTTAGGAAAAAAAAAGCCTACCTAATCCTCTCCCTTAAATCCAATAACATTTTTAAATGTCAGGACATTAACTTGGGATAAGAGAAACATCCCTGATTTAATGAGACAGATGACCTTGGGCAAACCATTTAACTCCATGGGGCCAAGGTTCAGCACCATGACTAGAGTCGACCAGAAGGTCTAAGGACAAAGTGTCCAGCCAAGGGCAAGTAGAAGGTCCATCTGCAATGAGAAGCGAGTACTTCCTTCCATTCTGCACCATGGAGTCCACTTACCTCACCCTATCCCAGCTCTGCTCAGTTTCCTCGTCTCAAAATCAGGTGTTGACCTGAATGACTTCCAAATTCTGTCTTAGCTTTAAAAGTTTTTGCAATCCTATGAATTCCAATTTCCTATAGGAAAAAGTTCTGAGAGACCGTATGAGAAAAAAAAATAAAAGGTAAACCTCCCATGTATATCAATAGATATTTTTAACAAATTACTTTGCCTTTTCTTCTCTAGGGTGGTGATGTGGGGGGTATGGGGGTGTTTGCAACCTAGATCTGATGCAGAATTCATACTTCTCTTCACAAATGGTTTTCATGAGGAATCATCCCAAGAGTGTCTTTTGACTAGGAAGGAAATTAAAAAGAAAGTCCAAACTAATCTTAAATGAGTAGGTTAAAAAGAAGCCTGCCACACTGTGGTGTGGCATTCGTGAGAGGAGGGTCACAAAGTGCTTTAAGAAGTTCATTTTCCGTACTGTATAATAAGTGCTTCAGGAGGCACATTGGTTTCCAAATTTCAAAGGATCAGTAACAGCACAGAGAGAACTTTAAGAACAAAGAGCACAGAGTGCATGAAGTGTGTCTTTACACGTACTTCAGAAGTTATTTGAAAAATAAATGCTTAAGCTCTCAATTGGCTTTGATTTACTGAGGTTCTCTTTGAAGATAACAGATAGAATTCTTATAATTGCGTCTCTTCAAAAGAGAATGACTTGATCTGGTCTTTGATCATCATTACCTCTCCATGTATGGAGATCCAGTCTGCTATGCACTTTTCACAGAAACCCAATTTTAGCACCAGCACAACTCTATGCCATAGGATAACACACAAACAGATTTGTCTTGTATATTATGGTATCTAGTTGTTTTTAAGCCACCATCCTTTAAAGAAACGATTCCTAACATGATTCCACACCCAGCTGTGCTTTAAGATTTCAAAACCCAAATGCAACCAAGCAGAAAATTCCTGCCAAAATAAAACATTTCAGTTAGGGTCTAGAAAACAAAGCAAACCACTCTTCTAAATGCCTCAAAGAGTTTTTGTGACATAAGAAGTCCATTCTCTCCCTTATCTCTGATTCTCTCCAATTGCTTCTCAAACACAATATAATGGGGCTTGCTTCAGCAAGGCAGGAGAAAAGGAAGAAGGAACTTAGAAGGACCCCAATGAGATTAGGAACAAGTCAGATCATAAATACATGTAGAGGCAAGGGAAAGTACTCAAGAATGGAGAATTTCTATCTTCCTGTTCTTCTTTATCACATTTTCTTTAGCCTCTTGTGTCTGATTAATGCAGTTTCTTTCTTACATCTTATTTCATCTTTTTTAGCTCAACAATGTCTTTTCCTAAGATGTTTAAAACACTCAGGTCCTTCTGTAAAGTGTTTGGCTTTGCTTTTTCTTTTTCCTCTGCTCTCTGAATATCATTAAATCTGCCTCACTCTTGGGCCTATGAATGTGATTAAACTTGCCTCTTCCCCTCCTGGCTTCCTCTCTTCATCCTCCTCCTGGGGCGAACAAGAAAGTCTTTCCTGAGGTCGCTCCTTCTTTTCTTCTGTTCCCATTAAATGTTTTTTCTCCTAAAGAGATTATAAGAAGGACCATTTATCAGTGGTTTTTCCAGGTCTTCCTTCATTTGGAGATGAACTGCTGCTTTCCAGAGCCCTACTCTATCCATAATTAATTCAGCATGGCCTTGTGTCAGCACCATCAGAACCAGCAGGAGTTTGATAGAAATGTAACATCCCAGGCCTCACCTTAGACCAAAGCAATCTACATTTTTAACAAGATCCATGGGTGACTTGGGTCCATTTTTAAGTTTAGGAAGGGTTTGGAGGAAATCCAGTTGATTGGGAACCAGAGAGGTCAGAAGGCTTTCCTGAAATGAGGCAGAAATTGAAAGGGAGAAGGTGGGGAGGCTAACATTAGGCCAGAGGGAAACAGCTGATGCATACCCTGAAAGAGAGCAGGAAGCTTGGGGGTGCTGAGCAACTGTGTAGGCCTGAACCAGATGGGAAGAGGACACAGCCTTCAAGGAGAACAGACTCAAGAGCCTCACTTCTGCCAGGAGCATTTCCTGTTCCCAACAGCATATAAACTTGGGAAATGTGCTTCTGGAAAGTTCAGGGCCAGAGACATTGTTGGCATTAAATCTGGGAAGATCAAAGGATAAACTAAGGTCTCTGGCCAGGACAGCACTGAGCACTTCCCCACCTGCTCTTCTCATTCCTTGCTGATAGAAAGGGCATGGGGTTGGGAAGGGGAGAGTCAAGAACTCATAGGATTTTTGTGAAATCTTTTTTGTCTGAGTTGGGCCAAGATCAGAATGCTTTGGCTGGCTCCCACTTTCTGTGGAATAACATATGGATAACAAAATCTCTTGAGATTCTAGTTGCCATATGGTATCAGGGTTATCTTTAGTACTTCAGGACCTCCAAAAGGCCCAATTCATAGGAGGGAAGGACAGGAAATCATAAAGTATAATTATAACACTGATAATAACTATATCAGAAACAAAAAGAACCAAAAATTATTATCTTTAATGGTCAAATAGGAAAAGCATAAACACTAAGTAAATTATCAGATGCTGTATTTAAAATTATACTTGAAACTACATTTTTAGTTGCCATATGGTAACTCTAAGAAAAAGTCATTTAGGTTTAATAATAACAAATATTAGTATGTATATAGTTCTCAAATTCCATCTTAGGGAGAAAATCTTTAAAATCAGGGGTCCTTAACATTCCAGAAAAAAAGCAGCTCTGTTTCCAACACTGATCAAACAGGTAGTCTATATTCAGTAAACACAGAGTCCTTATAATCCTACTAGCTTCCTCGCCCATATCTGTGGGGATATATAACTCTCAGTCTAATGGAGACAAAGCAGACAGAATCAGGAATAAAAATCTGTCTCCAAAGATTATTCTTGCAGGGCCTAGGAAGTGTCTGGGGGAGTGGAAGACTGTTTTCAGATGGATCCAACTCTACTGCTGACACTGGTGCTCATTTAATAGCAATGCCTCTACTTACCAGCTTCCCTGTCTGGAACAACCTCCTCTCCCAAGCCCCTGGGGCCTGCAACAGATCCACAGCTGGCTTATTTACCAGGGTGCCAGATGGGTATGAAGGGGGTTGGACAGGAATACCTATTATCAGCATCCCCACACTGGCTGCTAACTGGTCCAATAAACAGAGTGAAACTCCTTAAATTCGAGGAGGTTAAGCTCTCTGATCCAATTTTGGATTTTAGAAGTCTAAAGCACATCAAACCCCTATGCAACTGAGAAAAGTAGATCACTAGCAGTTTTTCCCCTTAGAGAGGGACAGAAAACAAGTGTCCAGCAGTGACTGAGTCCTACTGAGGGTCCCTGCATGTCCAGGATTTGGAGCCCTCTGTTGACCAAGAAACAGCAGATTACCAACCTCAGCATTCAGGGGATTGTCCTATAACATCTAGGAGGCTGATTCTTCCTACCAAAGGAAAAACATCTCTTTCAGACCTAGGAATCTCCACTGAATGAACAACTAGAAATGTCTCCACCCTAAGGTGCTTTTACCAGAGAGCTATGAAGTCAGTATTGATGTCAGTTGACCAAATATGACCACAAAAAGACTACCTTAAGTATCAGAACCTACACCAAGGCCTACAGAGGCATTTCAGCCATTAGTGAAAATGTTGCCCACTTGTCAGAATTTGGAACACAAGAGGCATGAATTTGGGGTCCATTTCATGTAAACCTGTAACTCTCTTCATTACCAGATATTTAAGTTTGAATGAGGCTATTGACATAGTGTACAATGATATGGATAGGAGACAAAAGAAAAAAGAAAAGAATATAAATGAGACAGGAAAGTAGTGAACTAAAGATATTAAACACCAATAGCTTTGGTAGACTTAAAAATTAGATATACACATATTTGTTCTGCTACATTAATCATTTTAACCCACCAACTATGCATTCAGTGCCAACTCAGTTATCTCAAACACAGCAGCCACTCAATATCTGACAGAAGAATCAAGTGATCAACAGCTGCTTTGTGTTAGTGTTGTCACCCATTGTTGGTCTACATTAAAGAACCCTCTTTGGAATAGGGCAAAGTTGGCCTAGGTGCTTTTGTTTTCTACTCTGTCCCCTTTACTACACAACTGGCCCCATGAGCCTCAAGAACATGCAGCAAGAAAAGGTTTTAGGCAAACTTTACAGTAAATTGGTACTTACACGGAGTACATCAATACTCAGCTGCTGAAAGTTTCGAGATCTCAATTCTTGCATCCGCTTATTATTTTCTTCATACTTTTCTTCCACAATCTTTCTGCAAATTTAAAGTGAAGGTAGAAAAACAACTTCAAATTGTTAGAAATAATAGCTATATCACACAGTGAAGTGTGATTCTTGTTTCAGCAGGCAGACAGGAGGGTCAGGAAGCCAGGCCATCAGCACTCTCCTGCGTGGCGCGGCAACCAGCAATTTCCTTTTAAAGCACACATGAGAATGCTTTGGCCTCTTATTCCTTTTTAGATGTCCTCAAAAGCAGCAGAAAGAAAAGGACAGCCATCCCTGTGCATCCTGAGTGTGATGTTGGGGTATCCCAAATGCCCAGCACAGTGCTTAACACATGCTAATAATTAGAAAAATGCTTTTAGCAACAACAAACCCATAAACAAGAAAAACAGAGCTACATATCAAGTTCATGGAAAAATATATGGGAATCACTGAAGGAGAATTTTCTATAGAGATATTGTCTTTGCTCTACTATAGGAGAGATGAGTTTAACAGATGTGCTACTAAGCAGGAAGAAAGCTTTAAATTCGTATGATTATCTGTATGCTAATTTATACCTAGATTTTTTTTTTGGCAATTCACTGAACATACTTTTAGTATAATTATCTTGTTCATAAAATAAATGTATTTTAACTCTTCTGACAACATTTTCTAGATAAAATACACAATCCCTCATGAATCCTAGAAACTGATCAAAATCCTAATCCAAGTCATTAAAAAAATCAAGATCATATTTTATGTAAAATTCATTTCCTTTAAATAATATTACAGTAATGTAAAAATATTGTAGTAATATAAAAATATTACTGTGTCACATGAAGATTTAGGACTTTCTTTCATCCACAAAAGTAGTTTTAAAACAAATAATTTGCAATATATATATGTAAATTATTAAATTTGCCTTTTAAATCTATTCCTATCAGATTTAATTTTCCTTTTACCATCAGCCAATTATGTTAATCATATTGCTTTGGAGATACTAATGTTTTTAAGGGTTGAAAATAGATTTGGAGCTTCCCTTCACCCCCTCCTCCCCTCCCCATTTACAAACACTTTATTTCCATTTTTTCATTTTCTCATATTTTTTCTCTTATTACCTTTCCCCTACCCTTCCCACTTTCCCTACACCTTTAGCCCTTTTCTTCCCATTTCACAATGTCAGTAATCTTATTAGGATCTTATGTACTATTACAGTTTATTCACATCAGAGAAACTATTTGGTATTTACACATGTGTGACTTATTTATTTCACTTAGGAGTATATCCTCAATATGTATCCATTTTCCTATGAATGTATCTAATTTCTCATTCTTTATGGCTGAGTAGTATTCCATTTTATGGAAAAACTACATCTTTATTCAATCTCCAAATAATGGGCAAATGGGCTGTTTCCAACTTTTAGCTATTACAAACTGTGCTGCTATAAACATGGGTGTGCATATATCACTCTGGTATGATTCTTTTAATTCTTTTGGAAAGACTCACAGAAGGGGGATGGCTGGGTCAAATGGAACCTCTAGTCCCAGCTCTTTTGAGGTATCTCCATATTGATTTTCATAGTGGTTGCACCAGTCTGCATTCCCACCAAAAATGGAGAAGGGTTAGGAGGGCAGGGACAAGGAGAAAAAATGAGAACCAAGACCACCTATCATGTAAAGGTAAAAGATCCTAATAATGAATGCGACTGTACTGTACACCTAAAATGTACCAATAAACTTAATAAAAGAAAAAAACAGAAAATAGATTTGGGGCTGAGTTAATATAATGACTCAAGCAATTTGTGTGACTATATTTTCCCAGTAAAAACCACGCTCAATGTCATACTGGTTTGGAGAAGCCAATTCATACTGGGTCCTAAGAGCAGTTTGTGTATGCAGGTTCCCAAATGAACACTCAGTTATATCACACTGGTTGCTCATAAGGGAGTACGTACACCGAAACAGTAGCCTCATCAGCTACCTCCAAACCTGAGCTAGTTGCTCAACATTTACTAGCACACCACTGCCCAGGATATACTTTGGTGGAAATCTGTTAAGGAAGCATGTGTTAAGGGAAAACAGTCTCTTAGATTCTTTGGTTCAGCATCATGTTTGCTTGAAGCACAAGGATGCGTCTAAATCACGTTTGAGATATCTTAACATAGTCACAAAATGAACAGATCTGCAGTAGGTCTTTTCTGTCTTTGCTTGGGACTCCTAAGCTTCAAAAGGTAGGCAGAGGAAGGAAGAAGAAAAATTTAAAAATTGTAAAATTTAATAATTGAAAAAGCAGTTTGAGAAATTCAGAGTTTAGCACTCTTTGAAACTCCAACCCTTTATACATGTATATTATTTCAGCTTTAAGTTCCGATAAAAATTGTTTATATCTATAGTGCACAGGCTTATATTTATATTTTTGATACATGTATACATTGTGAAATGGTTACAATAAGTTATTTAACATAGCCATCAGTTCACAAACATTTTTTGAACATTTAAAACCTGCCATCCTAGCAATTTCATACATAGAATACCTTATTTTATCACTATGATGGGCAACAGATCTCCAGAACTTATCTCTCCAGTCTAACAGCTCCCTACCCACTCCTGGACTCACCATTCTACTCTCCACTTCCCTGAGTCCAACTTTTTTTAGATTCCACATTTACATGAAATCATATGGTATTTGTCATTCTATAAATGGCTTAATTCACTTAGCCTAATGTCCTCCAGGTTCATCCATGCTGTAGAAACTCATGACATTTCCTTTTTTTTTCAAGGCTAAGCTAAATTCCATTGTGTATATATATACAGCATATTTCTTTCACAGACATTTAGGTTGATTCCATATTTTGGCTACTGTGAATAATGCTGCAATGAACACATGAGTGTAGATATGTCTTCAACACACTGATTTAATTTCCTTTGGATATAAACTCAGAAGTAGGATTGCCAGCTCATATAGAAGTTCTCTTTTCAACAAGGCTCCGGGTATCCAAGGAAAGGCAGCTTACTTTAGCTTCCTGGCTTTCTCATCAGCTGCCTGAAGCTTCCTCAACCGCATTCTTTCTCTTGGCGTCATCCTCTGCACTTCCGACTGTGCCCGCAGAGTCTGCAGGTGGATCTTTTTTTGCCTATAAATAATAAAGATTTCCCACATGCATACTAAGAAAACAAACATACTAAGAAAAATTAAACAAATATTTTATAGACATAGCAGTACACTACTGAGAAACCAAAAACATCTTGAGACAGGCCAGACCAAAACTAATAAGCACTGCATAGGTAATGAGCCAACTAGGACTTGAAGTTAATCAGCAATATTTTTCAAATTAGATTTTTGTTTAAAAGCAAATTATGCGCTTTCCAAATTCCTGTTCATTTCATTGCCTAGGACTGGTTTTATAATGTAAGACAAATTTGGATCATAGCCATCAGAGAGTAAATCAAGCTTGTGGATAAAGATATAATCATTGGAGTTAAGCAGGGTTTGAATTCCACCTTCATCACTCTAGCTCTGTAGCTGTAGGCAAAAAACTGAACCTGTTTTGCCATCTAAAGAATGTGCTACAGTATTATATAAGAATTTATATATGTGTACATAAAAAGTCTCCCAAAATAATAGTATTGTAACAGCCAATTTTTACTGAATATGAGTTATAATCTAGGCTTAATTCAAAAGGTATTTTATGGCAGGATGGTATAGTGATTTATCACACAGGTTAATAACACTCTCTGAGTTCAAAGCTGAGCTCATAGGTTACATTCTACATGTTCTAGAGCAAGTTACTTAATTCTCTGATTATTAAAGAAAAAGGTATCTCTTTCATAGGGATGGTCTACATTTAAGTGAGTAAATCCATGTAAAGTAAATTTTAGAGTTAAGTGTACAGTAATTGCCGCTTCCCAAATGCTAGCCAATATTATCTAAGAACCTGTTCATTCCATGAAAGAAGCATGCTTACATTATCCTGGCATTGAACGACCTATAACCAAATTATCAATAAAATTAACTTCTATTTCTAACTTGATAAGGGCCCAGTATTGAGGAATGCCTTTTGCACTCAATTCCTTCCTTGAGAAAACTGTAATGACTGTTATAAGGAGTTCTTATCCCTCTGAATATCCTCCAGACCAGAGCCTCCAAGGAATGTGCAATTTTTCAGGAATACATATCCATTATTTTGTAAGACCAAACAGATCTACTAAAACAAAGCCATAGATCTTGGAAATAAGAGAGACTAATTGAAATCAATATTTCATAATGTGAAGTACCCTCCTAGCAACTGGATTCTAGCACAGTGTTGATTATAAACAGTGTCAGGCAAACTGTTTCATAATTGCAGTGCAAATTCATAGCTAAAATTAGCTCAATATTTTAAAAGATATCTCCTACTTTTATATCTCTAGTTTAAAAAATAAAATTAGATGTTCCAACTTTTCTGGAAAGAATAAATGGTAGCCCAAGAAAAAAAAGGCTATTATGAGGATGCCTAAAAATTTACAAACCCACATCCCCACCAAGATGCAGCGCACTTTAACTAGAGATTGTGCATTAGACAGATGTCTGTGATGGGCTAGTTTCCTTAGTCTGAATCTAAGTACACAAAACAAACATGCTGCAGGCAGGAAACCATTCAGCTGAGGGCCAGAAGAGTGTGTGTGGCTAGATCACCGTTAAGGTGAATCTGCTGAGGGTCCTCGATGCCTTTCCCACCTCTAGGAAGGGACTGCTATTCTCTTTGGGTCGTTATGAGATTAAATAGAGCTCTTTCAACAAAATTATAGATTTCTTCTCTAAAAAAAAATCTCCTGGAGTTGTGCAGTGGACAGCCTACACAATTGTACAAAGATGTTCCTATATAGCCTTGTATTATGGGCTATTGCAAGTTGCAGCACAAAAATTTTGAATGAGGAAAAAGAAAAGTTAGGCCAAGAATTCATTATAGTTCTTTGGGAAGCATACTTTCTGTAGTTCATATTTATATGTATAGTACAAGGAATTAATTTTAGTTTATTTTCAGTTGTCCCAGGGTGAAACAATATTCTCCTTAAGCAGATATTCTTCCAGTTCACATTAAACAAACAACATATGAAAGCCATTTATGCTTATTATCATGGAGAGGTCACTAACATAAATATTAGTATATTATATTGTTTGCAATATTAATTTTTCTATGCACTTAGGAGGCAACTGCAGAGCTATCCTGCAGCTCTGCAAGCGTGTGGTGGTTTAAACTTTTATGACTGCAATTTGCTACCACCTGGGGCAACAGCTTTGGAAATCATTCCTGAAGTGCTTTAATTTCTTGGCAACACTTAAGTGAATTCTAGGAAGTGCCATGCAGTCAGCTTAGCCCTCATAGATTTTTAAAGATAGATGCACTTAACATTTACACTGGGTGGGCTTTTAAAAAACAAAGCAATTACTTACATGGCATTAATTATATAAGCAGCTTCCTTCTGACAATCTAAATTCTTGTCTTTCAGAGTCATTTCCGAATATTTATGTATCAGGTGCTGGGGGGGAAAAAAAACCCTTAACAGCTTTTCTTTAGCAATGAAAGGGCATAAAACTATGATGTTCCTTTTCTGATTCAGAGTATTACTGAGCATGGGAGGGAGCTTGTAAACAAAGCTCACAGTAACTACAGTTCCCTTTGAAAGGGTCACATAAAAGTTCATTGAAGCTTATGGGAGATCTTTCAGGGTCAGGCCTCTTCAGCAGCACCTTGCCCTATGACTCCCTGGTCCCCTCTACACACAAGCCTCCTTCAGTTCTAATCACACACAAGCCTTTCTCACTGCAGCCTATGATAGACAAGATGCATGCTCCTCTGTCCAGGACTAGGCTGAGGCAAAGGGAATACCCACCTCTGGTACAGGAGGCCTACAAAAACTCAGCCTCCAAGATTAATAATATTTTAATATACTATTGTGTTGAAAATAAAAATTAAAGGGCAACCTACCTTCTGGTTCCTTTCTTACTCTCTTAGACAGACACTATCTTTCTCTCAACAAATATGTCCTACTCTTAAAAATCAAAAGTAATGCCAAAAAGCTATACAGAATATAATATCAAAGGTTTAAATAAATATCCAACCATGAACTTGCACAACTCTATGTACTCTGCTCTAATTCAGGCCCTGTTGGATTATTTTCTTAAAGTTTAGATGTTTTGCTTATTGCCAGGAATTATTAGGATTAATTTGGATTTTTAAGCTATTGCATTAAAATTTATTTATCTTAATTATGAGCTTTCGGTGTTACCTTAAGCTTTCCCCAGGGCAAGTGCCTCTCACTTGTCTCATCCGACTCTTGGAAGATCCCCTAGGACTTCCTGCCCCCCTTCTTTTTTTGCCTTCTGTACCCTCATGCTGCTTCAGGGTGTTTTTGATCCCAACAGCTACCACCAATGTCTCTCAGAGGACTATCCACAGGCTGGCTGCAAAAGCACATAAGGCAAGCTGGAAAGAACTCAGGACATCAGCTGGCTTCTCCACATTGCCCTCCTTTCTTCTCAGCTTCCCCTGGGAGCAGGTGCTTGCATTACAACCTTCCCTTCTCTGTCTGCTTCCAGGGAATACCAGATAACCCAGAGCCTTTGGACCCGGTACCGTGCTCTGTGACTTACATATTGATTCTGCTGCTTCTTGAAGGCTTGCTGATGTTGAACTGGCACCAATTTCTTCTCTAACCACTCCCCCCTGCTTTTTTAAAGTGTCCTATTTACTTTCTCCTTAGTGTTTGAGATCATTTGTTTGCTTATTAGTCATTAGGTTTTTTCGCTAGCAGTCAAACTTCAGAACAGGAACCGTGTCTGTCCCTTTCATTCTGGTCTTCCCAGTGTCAGCACAGACTTCAAAATTCAATAGTGACCACAAATCACCATCATCTGTTTTCTTTGCATTTACAACTCGGCTCCCTAATGAAAGGCATTCACATTTTTGAAGATGGATGACTGCTCTGTGGTTTCTACTAAGGTTACTATAAAAGCTATTAAAGCTTCCAATTTAAGATTACTCTGTTTTTTTTATCACATTAGCTCTGCAGTACAATTTCAGGTCAGAGATTTTGATGCCCCCTGCCTTGCCTCTGTTGCCCAGAATTGTTTTCGCTAGTCTATTCTTCTAGCTCCAAATGAATTTTAGGAATGTTTTATCTAGTTCTGTGAGGTATGCTATTGGTATCTTGATTGGGATTGCATTAAATCTGTGTAATAAATTTTGGAGTATGGCCATTTTTACTATGTTGGTTCCTCCTACTTAATGAGTTGTAAAAGTTATTCTGCAGTTCCTATTAAATCAGAGGAAAGCGAGCTATGTGTTGTGGGACACAGCTGCAATCCCAATAACCTGGAATATTGAGACAGGATGGTTGCAAATTCAAGACTAATCAACTTACAAATTCAAGACTCGACAACTGAATAAGACCCTATCTCAAAATAAAAGGGTTGGGGATTAGCTAGGTGTTAAGGCCCTGGTTTTAGTCCCCAGAACCAAAACATAAATAAATAAAAATAATCAAAGGAAACCTGCCTGAGGGATTAGCACTGCAAAAGCTTGGGAAGTTAACAAAGAAAAGCACCCCCCACCCCAGAGAAGAATCATTTGCTTTTTTCTTACCACCTCAGGCAGATCCTCCATATTAAATTTTCAAATCCACAGAAAAACAAAATAAGCTCAATCAATAAAATGTTAAGTATTAAATTATATAACAAAGAAGTGGAATAATAAATGCTCAATGAAAATTCAAGATTTTAGTGTTACTATTAGTATATTCTTTTCCTAGCAGAGACATAGTCTAACATACTGAGGTAGGGACTGTTCATCTACAAGACACAAGGCTGGATATGGGGTTTAGGGAAGAAACCAGAGCCCTAAGGTCCCATTCCCAGTGGCACTAGGGAAGCAGGATGTACGTACCATCTTCTGCAAAGAGACTGTCTTGACTAATGTTTCTCTCAGCTTCTTTTTAATCTTGCTCCTCTTTTCTTTTTGACTGAATCTTAATGCATCTTATTCCAGTGGCATATCCTCAAGTCATAAAATAAATGCTAATACCTTTTCCCTAGTATTCTATTCATTTTAAATACCTGTAGTTGTTCATCAATGTAAGGGATTTTTAAAATTTCTATGGCAGATGGTCTCAATGTAGGACTCTTGTTCAACATGCTGTAATGTTCAAAAAGAAAATTATTTTTCAAATTAACTAAAACATAATTTCATTTAAAAATAATAACATAATTTAAAATTATTTCTGAGATAACAGATTTATTTCCAAACCTTTCCATGATGGTGTTAAGTTCTCTTGAATATTTCTCAGGAAGTGAAGGTGTGTTGCCTTCAACAATTTTTAAAACAATGGACAAGAAACTGGAGCCAGTGAATGCATGATTCATACAACACATCTCATATAAAATGCATGCCAATGACCTGAAGAACAGAATAAGTGGGACATATGGAAAGCAAATAAGATAATGAATAAAAGTACAAATATAATTACATTAAATATAAAGGAGCAATACTTTAATTAAAAAGACTATCAGGCTAAATAGAAAATGTAAACTGCTCACAAAATAAACTTTAAATATAAGAACACAAGAAGGTTGTTAGAAAAAGATGTATCAAACAAACACTTCTTGAAATACTGCTAGTGTAGCTACACTAGTATCAGACAAGGTAGATTTTAAAGTAGAAATCACTACTGAGACTAAAATGATGGACTTGATAGAGAAATAGCCATGAGAAACACATAAAAATTCTAAATCTGAGTACACAAAATAATTCTATGTGTATGAAGCAAAAATTGACAGAATTAAAATGAAAAATAAGTTCTCAAACACAATGATTCACAATCACATCTTTCAATAGGTGACAAAACAAGTAGACAAAAAAAATCAGTAAGGATCGAGAAAATCTATACAACACAATTACTGAAATTGACAAATTGGCATAAATGCACCAAATACTGGCAAAATAAAAGTTATTTTCAAGGACACATGGAACATTTATCAAAACTGACCATACTAGGAGTCAAACAAGCCCCAATGGGCTTCCCAAATCAAAATTTTGAGAGCATATTCTCTGACCATTCTGAACCTAAGCTAGACATTAGGACAAAGACAGAAAAATGAAATAAAGGGGGAAAAAAAACTACAAAATCTCAATCATTTGGAAATTAAGGGATGTACATCTAAGTAATCCTTAGGTTAAACAAAAATCATTATAATTTGTGTGGTAGAGGGTGAAGTACGGGGGAATGAATCCAGGACATCTGCCCTGAGTTAAATCTCCAGTCTTTTTATTTTTTATTTGGAGACAGGTTCTATGATGATGCATACCTATAACATGAGTTGTTTGGGAGGCTGAGACAGGAGGATTGTAGGTTTGAGAGCAGCCTAGAAAACATTTTTAACTGAAAGCTAGTTAAGGTACAAAATAACAACACTTATTGAGTATAGGTAATGCAAATTCAAATAACAAAAATGAAAGTATTAAGTGCATATATTAAAAGAGAAAAAAGATTAAAATCTGTGATGAAAGTAAACTTGATAATCTAGAAAAAAATAACAAATCACACCAAAGAAAGTGTAAAGACATTTTTTAAAACAGCAGAAATTAATGAAGTAAAAACTTAATAAAAAATAGAATTAGTAAAGACTAAGCAAATTTAAAAGATTTCTAGTAAGATTTATCAAGAAAACAAAAAGAGAAAACAATAATAATGGGAACTGGAAAAAGATATGACACTATAGAATTCACAGATATTAGAAAGTATTAGGGAAGCATTGTAAACATGTTTTCCTTTAATAAATTTGACAATTTGGGTGCAATGAATAGTCTTTTAAATATGCAATTTACCAAAACAATGCAGAAAGAAATAAAAAGTCTGAATAGTCTCTTACCTCTTAAACAGAGACTAGCCATTATTTAACATTATAAAATTGAAACATTTTCCACTGCAAAAACTCTAGAAGCAGATGGATTTACTAGCAAATTCTTCCAAACACTTAAGAAATAAATTACACCAGTTTATAAAATCTCTTCATTTTATAAACTAGAAAAGCATTAATAATAAAATACAATAAATATCCTACAGGAAAGAAGAAATAGAGGTGAATTTCCTCATGAAAGTAAATTCAAAAACTCGAAACACTGATGCTCACATACATATTAGCAAGTAGAATATGGTGACATGTTAAAAACTACTACAGTATGACCAAGTAAATTTCATTTCAGCAACACAAGGTTAACTTAACATTTGGAAATCAATTAATAGAATATACTTCATTAGAGGAAAAAATATATCATTATTTTGACAGCTATGGAGAAAAGCATTTCATAATATTATAGACCCAAGGCAGTAACAATCAAAATCCTAGTGGACTTTTTAAAAGGAACTGACATGGTGATTCTAAATTTACATGGAAATGCTAGCAAATGTCAAGTTCTATTATAAAATTATACAACTTATGAAAATGTGATATAGTACAAAGTAAAAACGACCACTGGAACAAAATGTAACTGTTCTTGAAAATAGAATTACACAAATTCAAATCACTTGATTAATGAAAACATAAGCTCTATTGCATAGTGGTAGAAACATGGTCTTTTCAGCATATTATACTGGGTCAAATGAATATCAGTATGGAAAACAATGTATTCAGATTTCTGTCTCATATCATATGCTCAAAACAAACACCAGTTATACATTTAGCTAGCTGGGAAAAATAAATCATAAAACTTTTAAATGAAAACAGGAGAATATTTTCATGTAGGCAAAGATTCTTTAAGGCACAAAAGGCATTCACAATAAAATTATGAATTTTTATTCATGAAAAGATGTCATTAAGAAAATAACAAGGAAAATCCAGAGAGGAAAATATTTTTTTGAGTGGAAATATTTTTGATTCAAATATCTATCAAAGATTGGCAATCAGTATATGTAAAACTTTAATCAAATAATTAAATTTCCAATAATCATTCAGAACAGAATATAATCCAGTGGAAGAACTGAACAGATACTAAATGAAATCTCAACAGCTACTAAGTAGTAAAAAAAATTACTCAACATTATTAGCCAGCAGAGAAACAAAATTAAAAATTACAGTACAGTAATTACATATATTCCTCAGACTTGTTAAAATAAAAACAGACATAAAATACCAAGTTAGTATGTGTTATATCATGAAAATGTTTTCTTTGAAATAAGAGAAGTTGTATATTACTGGTAAAAGATAATCATCAGACTGAACTGAATATTTTTGCCTATGTTCAGAATGTATAAAATATTTATATTAATGAACTACCCATTATATTTACTTATTTTGTCAGAGGACAGTCTACAATTCGAACCTCAAAAGTTTTTTTCTAGCCAGGCGTGGTGGTGCATGTCTGTAATCCCAGAACTTGGGAGGCTGAGGCAGGAGGATCACTGTGAGTTCGAGACCAGCCTGGGATACACAGTGAGTTCGGTCAGTCTCTTGTATATTACTGGTAAAAGATAATCATCAGACTGAACTGAATATTTTTGCCTATGTTCAGAATGTATAAAATATTTATATTAATGAACTACCCATTATATTTACTTATTTTGTCAGAGGACAGTCTACAATTCGAACCTCAAAAGTTTTTTTCTAGCCAGGCGTGGTGGTGCATGTCTGTAATCCCAGAACTTGGGAGGCTGAGGCAGGAGGATCACTGTGAGTTCGAGACCAGCCTGGGATACACAGTGAGTTCCAGGTCAGTCTCCACTACATAGTGAGACCCTGACTCAAAAAACAACAAAAAAAATTTTTTTTTCTATATTCACAGAATAGTAGAGGTACAAAGGAATATAAAGATTTGCTAGTTACAAACTCATTTTATTAATAAAAAAACAGAGATCAGAGAGAAGAGGTAATGCACAGAAAAACATCATGTTACATCACCTCATGTTTGGCATTAGTTCTTATCCAATATTTCTCTTTTAAAATGCCTTTAAAGTTACACTGACCACATTTTGTTATATAATCTAATGTACTTGTAATCTAAACACATATATATATTATATATATATGTATGTGTATATATATATTTAAATACATATAT